TCACTACCATAGTGTTGAAAGATGTTCTATCCCAAAGTGGTGCTTTCGCACCAGCTGAAATTGTATGACAAATACAACAGCCAAGAATGTTCTGCATGAAGCTGTTCACAATGGCTCCATTAGTTCACAAACATTCTTTGGCGGCATTCTTGAGCACGAGTATTATGCAAAAATGCTTTTTAATGCATAGGGTCTATTGTTGAGAAAGTGCAAAACAGAAAACGCATCAAGGATCCAAACCCTCGACAATGTGACCGCGAGACCTGCAACGTATCCACTCGGCCACGCCGCTTCGAGCGGTGAGCCTCACGCCGCTAATTCGTATTGAATGCCACTATGCTCCCCCTAAAAAGGCCCCGTAACTTTGTTCTGGGAGGTCCGCAGCAGATATGGAAGACGGTTTCGTAATCCCCGTCCAGAGACCTTCAGTCGGTATACCTCTCATTCAAATGGCCACTTCGACCTACCATCCTTCCATTGTAAGGCCTGGCGAAATGGCGTGATCGAAAACAGCCCAGTACATCATCATAATCTCCAGATACTACTTTTGTATACTATGAATTTGTTATTGTTTGATAGTGTGATTTGAATTCAAAGTGATAAGTCATAGTTCCTAAAAAAATGTCAGGAACGTTTTCTTGATTAGGTATTACAGTCACCTCTCGTGACGCGATGGTGTGAAAGTACGCTCTCTGATAAGACCTGATCCATAGCTGTTAACCTGTGTTTGATGATACCTCAAAGATAGCTCCCTCGATAAAAGTGTCATGGATAGTTGCTGTTCAATTATAAAACGGTAGCTGATAAGTATTAGGGTGTCCGGAAAGTTTTGAGAAAATTTCGCTGCCTCACTTTGAGAAAGCGTAGCGCGCGAAGGCCATGAGCAAATCTGTAGATCAAAACATGGGAAGATAGAGGATTGTCTGTAGATCAAATCAGCAGCTGATCAATATTTCATTTCGTCATTAGCCTTTGTTGTAACCAATCGAATAATGTGCGACAGACACTACAGTCGACGCATCCTACTTCATCTTTACCGTTCCGGCCGCTCCGCCACTCAAGCGAGGAATGAGTCGCTGTCGTCGATGGGTGGCAATGCACCCTTTCTTGCAACCTGCTACAGGTGGTACGATCGCTTCGCAGTGGGAGAGTTTAGCCTCGATGAAGCACCTCGATGCGGACGCCCTCCCTCTTCCAACACTGGCATCGTGCTGGCTTCTGTGAGGGCCAATCCTGCCCAAAGTCTGAGGGGTTTGAAGAGGACGACTTCCACTCCTCGATCTACTAT